AAAAGCCCTCGCGTTCGGCCGGTCGTGTGCGCCATCGACCGTTCACAACATGTTTTGTGTTGTGCCCATGGTGTGCCTGATTGTCATTTGTTTGTATTTATTAATTTGTTCTTTGGGGGAGGGCAGCTTCGACTGTGAAGGGACAAGGATTTGTGACAGTTGTGATGCAAAGCTCCTTGGGCCCATGCTCCACTGCTGCTGCTGCTGCTGCTGCTTCTGGTTGGCTGCTGCTGCTCCTACTGAATTTGGTTGACCGTAGGAAGCTGTAGGATGACTGACTGTATGAGTCGTGCTCGCGCGAACCTCGCGCGGGGTCGCGCGGGGCTCGCGCAGAGGCCTGTTTTGTGTGTGTGTGCGCGCGCGCAACCTATTCTCTAAGTTGCGCATTGGTGTGAACGGTGCTGTGCCATTGAGATTTGGTCTTGAAACATCCAGAAAGCAAGGCCAAATGCCAGCCATAACGCGGTGTGCACACACTTTTCCTTGAACATATCACTTTCCTACCGTGCTCATGTTTCAAGTGTGCCCATTGTGCTTTGACAAAAATGAGTCGACTTCACGCGAGTGGGCTGACTTCTCGCTGAAACCTTGTGCCCATGCAGTGAGTTGACTTCACGCGACGTGGGCTGACTTAAGTACGCCGCTTGTAGGCGCTTTCTCAGGATATACATTCAGAATCCGAAGGTTGCTGTTCATAGTGTGCCCATGGGGTTTTGCCTAGGCAAGATCACGCAAAGCAAGTCGAAAGCATTGATTTTTGAGCACGTGCGTGCAGTGTGCGCACGATTTCCTAGTTTTCAGCTTCATTGAAGTGATGTCCTTCAAGTAGTGTGCCCATGGTGTTTTGCAAAAACTGCGTTGACTAAAAACGCATGAGTTGACTTAGGGCGAATGTACGTCATACCATGCAGCTGCGTCGGCTTAGCACGAGGTGCGTTGACATACGGCGCTCGCTTGTACTGTTGGTGGTGGCCATGGCAGAGTGGCTGAGTCTGCGTTGGATGGTGGACGGCTTGGAGCTTCCACTACCTCGTGGATACCGTGTGATCCTTGAGGCACCGCTGGTGTTGATTCGACTTAAACTTTTGTTTGCTTCATGTCTGACTTGCAGGAGAGTGATGAGCGAGCGGAAAGACGTGTCATCCTTGCTGCCGTCGCAATTCACAAGAAGGCGTCGCCGCAAAGCGGGGAGACCACCCCACTTCGCATCCTTCCGGACTCCGTCCGCCTTCGATCCAGGCAGCTGAGCAACGGGATGCTGCCTGGAGCTTCTGGCAGGCGTCGGTCGTCGTCGCTTCTGGGCGTCGGTCGTCGCTCGTTTCCGGCCGCCCCGGCCAGGGTCTGCAAGAATCCTTTGCGTGCTGCTCCCACCCAACAACGGAGGCTGACATGGTTGTATAAGGCGTGGCGCCAAGGAAAACACGCGCACACAGTTCATGTTGGAGCGTGAGTGAAGAGAGTACGCGGTCGTCGGTGGAGGGGATGCTGGGACCCTTCAAATGTTCAATCTATTAATATCTATTCATTGCGAACACGTTGCATGTATTGTCAACGTTTTGAATACCTCGAGCTCGTTCATTTTCAATGTGATTGCAGGAAGTGTAGTGGAGGTAGGCTTGACACGGGATTTACAAACGTCTCTAGGGTTGGAGGACTGACGGAACCTTTTCGTTTCGGTGACCAGCAAACTATGCTGATTGCCTTCTTTGCATTGCTAGGCGGCAGCAAATGCCAACGGAATTGTGGCGGCCGAGCTCCAGTTGAACGCCAAGGCGAGTACTGAGCACTGCAGAACTCACCACGCGTGGTACTGGAACTATGACTTCTTTCTCAACCGCAAGATTGAATGGGCCTTCCATTCGCCGTACTTTCCCTTCAAAAGCAAGCGCTGGAAAGTGCATGGAAGTCTCCTTTCGCCTGCTCATTCTCCGATTTGTTTGTTGCGGTTGTTGCATTCACAACATACCCTTTTAATAAAAGTGATCCCATGGAGTGCATTGGAGGTAGGATCGAAGCAGGGTGATTTACCAACTTCTCCTACAGGAGACAATCTTTGTTAGTGACTACCAAAATATGTTGATTGCCTTAGATATGCTGAGATAAGTGTGCAGAGTATTCTAACTGCCTTCTATGTGCAGCTAGGCTGCAGCAACTGCCTTTGTGAGGTGCCACGATCGATTTGCTCAAGACTTGCGATTGCTTCCACTAGGTTAGCTGGCTACTGACTTAATTGTGTAACTCAAAATCAATTAGACAGATGGAATGGGAATGTTCGACCTACATGCGATCTGGACCTTGGGTAGGTTGCAAGGTGCTTCTTTGGGACCACTCCTTAAAATGGGCCAGGTCCTCACTTGGTCTCGCCTCCTCAACTGGCCTCTCCTCACCAAAGCAACGCGCCCCACACGCGCTTCGCGCTTCGTGTTCGCCATGCCGTGCGTTTCGCGTTCGCCCCACTCGGGGAAGCTTCGGGCCGAGGCAGTGGTCTACTTCGGAGCCGTCCCCTCCTTCACGGCATCAGAGAGAAGCCAGGCACGTGGATCCGCGTGGTGGCTTGCGTGGTGGAGTTGCGCAAAATTGGAAGGACGCCCGCGGGGTGGCTCCTTTGTGTGCCACTTCCATGTTAGTGAGTCGCAGTATGGGTTTTCTTCGGTTTCGTGGTCCCCCAATCGGACGAAACGGGCGCCGTGACCGGGATTTGCGCCGTGTGAACAGCCTGGGGCTACTCGAACACCAAGGTGGCGACAGCCAGGTGGCTCGACCACGTGGGTCTTCTGAAAGAGACTCCGAAGCCCAAAGACTGTTGGTAGGCGCCACCGAAGCAAAAGGACATTCGTAGACTCGGGTAATCTAAAGAGCAAATGCTTTAAACATGGTCTTGGATTTCCAAGAGAGAATGCTATGCACATCTATGCACTACATTGAGGGTGGGTGATAATGTAGACTCTTGATCAAAAATCAAAAAGATTCCCATGAAATATGAAGAGATTCTAATCCAAATTGTTTGCCTTTAATCAAGTCGGCTTCGTGTTGCGTGGACTCTTCCTCGGTGACATGTAAAGCTCAGAGAAAGGAGAAGCGGCGTAGTTTAACTACTTGCTTTTCGTGTTTCATCTTGGCGAGCAATGGGAGACGCAGGGTCTTTCTCCTGAAATTCATGCCTGCACCATATGTTGCATTCAAACACGGGCTGCTGGAAAGCGCAGAGGTTCCGTCCGTTCATTGCTCTTTTCCTGTTGCGGTTGTTGCATTTTACAACCGGCGCCTATTGACGTGTTGTTTTTCTTTTTTTCCATCGTGACTGCAAAGAGAGCATCTAGTACCATCTTGCAAGTGAGCAAGGACAGCTGAGAGTCCCAAGTCCTGAGTTGAATCTATAAGGCAACCTTTCCATAATTAGGGTTCTCCCCAGCTTGCAAAGTAGTTGAGCTAGCTTGATTGTCTCGACTGTAGATAGCAACATTGGCTCAAAGATGCTCCGGTACCTGCAGCTGGTTGCATATGTTTTGTGCAGCTGTGCCCCAGATGCATAAATGTGAGTTGTTCTTTCTCGGTGATTGGTCGTTTCATGTCGTTTCCTTTCCCTTTCCTTTGTCATCTAAGGCTTTGTGTTTTTTATGCGGCTGCCCTGCGCTGCTTGGGAGCAATTCTGGTATCCCTTCGATGAGGAGTGACTTGGCATATGTAATGGTCCTTTGTCCTTTTCTTTTTCCGCCTTCGGACTTTCCTACTCTTTCCCGTTTCCCTGTCCTTTCTCCATGTCCTTTATATATATATATTTGCATTGTTCACGGGCGGTTGGCTTCGCGCTCCGGCCGCCTTCCGGGCCTAGGCCAGAAGAACCTCCATGTGCCTTGGTGTGCGAAGCTGAACCCAAGGCTGGGAGGAAGCGCTTTCAGGATTAGTCACGGCATGAGTCATGAGTTACCAAGTTGAACCTGAACGTGGCAGCTCCAAATCGACGACTATAACCTAATGGATATATATATATATACATATGGATAATATAATATATATATAACTTATAACCTTGGACCGAGCTCATCCTGCAACACCTCTTGGAAAGAGTTGGTAGCCGGACGGGGTTTTCAGACCCTATCTGGACCTCTTCCAGGGTGTAAGCACACCGGTTTTTGCAGAGAAGATTTGCCTCCAAGGATGACATCTTCATCGGCGTTCATGGGTCATTCTTTTTGTCCCGTGGGTTGGTGAAGTTTTCACATCCGAGACCTGCCAAAAGAACCATCGAAGAAACAAATTCCTTAAACCGTCAATATTATTGTAGCCTCCTCTGGCCTAGACTTGTGATACTCACAGCCTTAAGGCCACCTTCCGGTTGAAGAACATCGACGATGAGGGAAAGGCGGGTTGGGTTTGGATTTCTGTGGTGGCATTTGACATTTGAGGAGGGTTGTGGCAACTCGATGTGATTCTTAATGTTTTCATGACTTGTTTAGCATGTCATGGCACGCTGCTCAGCATCCGCTTCATGCCTAGCCCGGCCCATACCGCCACTACCCTCCATACAGCAGGCGTATCACATCGTACGACCCCCCCGCCATCTGCTCCATCCACTTACATCACCCTAGCCATTGAGCCACCATAATACAGGAAAAGCCGTGTTTCAGGGTGCCATTCAACCCGGGTTCATGTGAGTTTTCTGGAGTGTATAACTCGCTCCCATCATCCACTTCTCGAGGCGAAGCAGTTGATCGACAAAGGCTGCAAGGTCCAGCGCTGCCCTTCGATGACGGGCTCCAATCCCTGTTGGGGGGAGACCGAACAGCTGACGGGCTCGGGGGGATGGGTCTTCAAGAGCCCACTCCTGGAGAAGGCGCGGCGCGTTTTCGGGCGTGTTTGGGCGCGCACGGGCGTTTGAACCATTTTGGGGGGACCTGGAGAGTTCTTCTTTTGGGGGGAGGGGCGGCGCAAGATGATTGAACATCCACCATGAAGCATCAACCACATTTCTCATCACCTCTTTCTGAAAAAGCGGTCCTTACTGTATGTGGGCTGTACATACTTCTCCCGCATTGCGACGCAGCAACACCGCAAAATGGGGGAGTCCGAGTCTCTCACGCGCACGAAAACGAACCGCAACGGGCACGAGGCCACGATGCCGAACTTGTACTTGAAGATCGAGTTGTCGAGCCGGAAGTATGAGAAGTTGGGCATGATCAGGTGCCGGAAGATCGTGGATCTTCGTGGGTCAGATGTGAAACAGCCACCGGCCGTGGTGTTTCTTCTTTTCTATATATTTTTTTCGCGGGAACATATTATATGATAGGAAGGAAGAGTCTACCCAGCGGGATGTAGCCTCTCTTGACATATATTATATATGTTTGCCTGCATTTTTTCGGTGGTTGAGCTTTGAGTGCCCAACATGTGCACAAAAACAAAAGCTCGGAGACGTTCACCCTGTTATCACAGGTTCTGTCTCCCGAACGAGACAGCTGCACACAAGACCTGACGCATACTGTAGTTTTTATATGTCTTCACCTTGGGCATTTGACCATATTTAACGCCATACTTTTGCTAGACGTTCTGGGCATGCCACACTGGCAAGACATTTGGATCACAGTTCTTCGATGTCATCAGGATGGCCGTCTTTGGCACAACCTTCCAAGATGAGTTTCTTTGCATGTGCTTGTAGGTAGAGCGACCTGCGTTCTGTTAGGTTAGCTGGGCTTTTGCAAGTGGACTGGCTGGTCGGTCTGACAGGTCTGCGGTTTCCCTCGCGGTGTCTGCAAAAAGAAGGTATCACATGTATCACCCCCCTCAAGGATCCAAGTATACTAAGTATACCTTCTCAGGTTCGGTACGAGTGGACCCTGGCGCCAAAACAGAATCTCCAATCAGCTTCAGCTTCTGCTACTTGGATCCCTAGGGAACCTGTCACAAGCTCTATTTTTGGGATCCTTCCCTGGTTTGAGTGGAATGGCAGCCGACCCCTGAATCCTCATCTACAACCAGGCGAATCGGATTGTCCACTTCTTTGTTTGGAGGGTGAATGCGGATCCATAGGGAAACACAACTGCCACAAGTGTCGTCACCATCCGTACCGCTACGATCCGCTAAGCAACCGAAAAAAAGCTTCCTTCCATCGCTGCCCTGCCGAGGTTCCTGGGTGGCGCGCCGACCTTGGACTTGAGTGACTCCAAGAATCTCTACAACAACCTCTGGAGCCCTGGGTGCATTTGAAACTCGCACGGGGCCAGTCCGGAAAACCATTTTCGTTGGCCACCATGAAAGCCGAAAGTTGAAGGTGCTGCTGTTCTGCTGGTGATTCGATCAAAGCGGCTCATCAACTACCCAACTGGAGGATGCCCGGACCTTCCCAGGCATGTCCCCATCCGATCCATGCGTGGTTGAGTAGGGTTGGGCCGTCCATTAAGTTACGCCTATCTCATTCACCTATCTCATGAGTATTGACATGGTAGCACTAACCCCTCCAAAAAGGTCATCACTAGGCAGTCAGAGCAACTCAGAAGAGAATCACAAAGGTCGCCTTACTAGGATCCAGGACCTTTGCGATTTCCCGATGTTGGGAAAATCTTGGGACGCGCCCGGTCACCAGCGAGCGCCTTCCATCGAGAGTTCAAGCTTCAAAACAAACTTTTCACCCCACTTAAACATCATTGAACATCCAACAGCACATCCATTCACCCAACATCTTCACGTTCCTCCATGTTTCCTCTTCCCTTCCTTGCCCCTTTCCTCTTCCGTCACGCATTCCCACACCTTCTACAGCCCAGGTCCCGCGCGAGATGTCGACCCTCCCGTCCGCAACGCTCGGATGCCGAGGATGCCCTTGGCCACCGTGGACCCAGCCACGCCGAAGCTGACGCCCAAAGCCCATGGCGAGCTGCGCTTGATGACGCCTTCGCAGGTGCCCGGACGGGGGGGGGAGGCCTTTCTTTGGTTCAGTGCCCGAGCCCGGGCCGGGGCGGGTGTGACGGTGTGAGTGTGCGCCGATGAGTTTTACAGCCAGGAGTGGATCAAAGTAGGATTCTGCAGAACAGATCATGTCTAATAATGGACAGGTTTTAATCAAATTGTGAACCACCTTTGTTCTTCTGCTGAGGAGACCGTGGCCTTGCGTCGCTTGCCCAAGACGGCTCGTGGTTGGCAGAGGGAGTTGAAGCAAGCGCTGAAGGGCACGGCTATGCGCGATCCCATCTACGACGAGCAGGCAAAAGATGTGCAGGGATCTCGTGTGGGCACCCGCAAGAACGCCAAGGGGGGCCTGTTTGGGGTGGTTAATGCACACCCCTGATTACCAATCAGCACTCCTTAGAGTCTCCTGGTACATGCGTGATGATACACGAGCCATGGCATTGGAACCGACTGTTAGAGAAGTAATGAAGGGCAACATGGACATGCATGGTGACATACATGCATGGACAGCTTAAAGATGGTTAATGCTTGCCCTGTTTTTTCCGTCAGGTTTCTCCCAGTCACGCCTCAAAAAGACGGGCACCTTAGAAACCAGTCATTGCACCTCAGTCACTGCACCACTCTCAAAACAACGCCACCTTGTGTCGGTTGGACGTCGCTGGTCGGTCTAGGCGGTGAAGCGCGGCTATGATCCCAACTTGTACGACCACCAGGGCGATCACCAAGAGGCTATGAATGAAGCCAAGCTCAGCTGCTGGGATGATGTGGAACGAGGTGGCATGGCAGGCCCTGTATATACTGCAATGGGATTATATACTGTAATATACTGTAATCAATTTTCATAACACTATTGCCTGATTCGAAGTCCAGTTGCATATATGTTGGCACCAACGCCAACGACGAAGTAAAGGCAACTCCTTTTCGGGTCACCATTTTTGCTATGTATAAAAACGAGAGTGTGTTTGAAACTCCCAGGGCTTCAATCAGCGCCTTTGTGCAGCTAGGGGCCTCGTTTCCAAGGTTGCCACTGTTTTGTGGGAACACGGGTTGGCAGGGGCTGTCACCGCTGCCATCACTCCGGTCTGTGACCAAACTCAAAGTTGTTCAGCTTGATTTGGCCTCAATAATGAGCAAATGAAACGAAGAACAATGTACAACAATGTACAACAGGATGTGTTCATTTTTTCGGTTCAGAATCAATGTGGCCATGTTGATAGATTTTTTTGGGCCAGCCTCTCAGAATCTCAGCAGAATGTCCATTCATTGGGCACCCCCATCTGCCCCTCTTCATATCTTCATCCGCCCCATCAGCTCCCGCTACCGAGGCCATATGCAGAAGATGTTGGAGAGCGACTGCTGTGAGTGGCAGCAACGTACCTCATTCAAAGGGATGCAGAGATTGTGAACGATATGAGGATAATATAGGATAATCATAGTTTTAGTGAGTCCAAAGATTCACTGTAGTAGACAAGTGAATTGTTTAGTTTTCTGTTTATCGTTTTTGTTTCTCAGGTGTTGCTTGGCGCGACTTCGGCCTGAAGCTGGAATCGATGAAACTTGGACCTTCTTCGCTCGACCGTCCTCGCTCGATCGCCCGTGGGACGTTGGAGTTTCACGACTTAAAAGCCTTACCCAGACGCTCATGGACCTTCATATGGAGAGGTTTGGGGTCTCAAATCCGGTTTTGAGGGACCAGTCGGCTGTTTGGAGTGTCCGGTAAGGTGAAAGATAGATAGATAGATGCAGAGAAACGCTCAGTGTTTGTCGGTGTTAAGCAGTTCGGGCTTAGGTGAAGCTTGGGGTGCTGGAAATCATGCAATATCATGCAATTATTCTGAGTTGCTGTTATGTTATTTTTTGGGGCAGACCCGGTGAGAGGACTATTGCTGTTTGCTTTTGTGGGAGTCCCTCCATGTGCTGCACACGGGTATTCAAACAACAATTTGGGTTGCAGACCCCCTTCTCATTTTGCATCTTCTCATGGGGGTGTGGCTGGGGGGTCCCTATTGTAGCACACACACACACACTAAACTCCAAGCCATCCAGGAGTAGATAACCAATCCAGAAATCGTTTCCTAATTGGTCTAATTATTCCAAGATGACTACCAGCAGTTCCTGGGTGCTATGACAGGCCCCCCCTTGTCCATCACTTCTCCATGGCTGCTGGGATGGGGGTCCAAGTTCGAAATCCTGACACGGAACTCCTGAATGCCTTTGTATTTTTGCTCAGACGCGACCCTGAACCTTTATGGAGGGGCCGAAGCCGAATCCAAACCAGAGGAGTCCTGGGTCGAACCACTCGGACCAGTCGGGCTGTGAACGAAGCGTCTGGGTGGGTGTGGTACGTTTTAAAACATACATAACGTTTCACTAGGGTTTGGCACGCTCCTGGAGCCCTAGGGTTTGGATCTATTTCAACTCCTCGTTTGACCCAGGAGCAACGCGGACGCGGATGAGCAACAGCAGAGACCCTCCTTGAGCCTGCTCGGGAGCGGGTGGTCACGGGGGGAGACGCCCAACACTCGGATGTTGTGGGAGCCCCTTGGATTTAAAACGGGTCGGGATGACCACCATGTTGGAATGGATGAGGATTGATGATTTGATATAAGATATATTAAGTAATATATATATATATTGTAGATTCCCCACACTGGAAGCGTCGCCCTTCCCTCACCTATCACTTCCACCCACCGAGCGCTCCCGGGCGCGTCTTTCTCACACCGCAGCCTCCGAGGGTCGTCCACGACCAAGGGCGAACGGCCGTCCACGGCCTACCATCCAAGCCCCCTGACTTGAGCCCCTTCTCACGGGCACGAACACCTGACACTCGGATGAGTGTCACATCTCATGTGACAGCGTACCCTTCAAAGTCCAGGTTGCAAGGTTTGGCCACTGAAATCACACTCCTAAAAAAACTCTTTTGTCTTTTCAAACGGACAAAACGTTGGAATTAACGCAGTACCATTGTACTCTATCATGCATAGGGCACACACGGATGAGGTGATTGACGAACCTTTGCATCACGTTGAAGGGACAACTGTCTGGTAATCTTGGAGATTACATCCCTGACAGAAGGTGCATGCTTGGTCACCTGGAGAGGTGGTGGTGCTTTGCATCCAGGTCTGACGCAGTCGACGATCCGATCTCTGTTTGAGAATCTCATCCACATCCCTGAGGAGACACTTGCCATTCCTGAGGAAAGTTTTAAGGATACTGGTGTCCATTTCTTTGGTCAAAGCGTCGGCCATTTGGGCAGCACTGTGCACCCATTTAATTACTATTCCTTCCCTTAGGCGATCCTTGATCACCAGTGCTTCAAGAAGTGTCCTATACTCACTACACTGGGGAACAGTCGTCTTTTGGAGAAGGTCGTAAAGGCTCTTGCAGTCAACTACGGCATATGCCGGAGGAAGCTGAGGTAAAGTCTCTGATGGCTTGTTCCAAACAGTCAAAGGATCGATCATCCAATTCCAATGTAATCGGATCCAACTCACCTGGTCCAAAGCACCTGAGAGAGCATATGTCTCTGACGCCAGGGTGCTAGCTACCACACGGGCGATCTTTTTGGAGCACCATACTATAGGACTTACCTTTGAACCGTGGTTATCATCGACCCCGGGGGTTGTGGCGAGGATGAAAGTTCCTCTGGGAGTGGGCTTTGTCCCTCGAGGCAAAAGCAGCATCGGAAAATGAAAGAAACCGAACTTGTTCTGTTGGCATGGATTGGATTCTAATTTCGACATCGGCATGTTTCTTTGCATCTTCTAATAGCCTATTCGCTATCAAGAGATCTCCAACAGTCGCATGTGGTATCTTCGCCTGCAACAAGCTGAGTCGACACGACAGGTCTGGCCTTGTGTTCGATGCAGCATACTGAAGGCTACCTATCAAGCCTCTTAGTGCTTGGATTTCTTTATCGTTGGCAGCATTCTGTGGTTCTTTGCGACGTTCTCGGGGGATCTCAATTCCAGTGATATCTTTGATATATTCAGTTTGGTTGAGTCAAGGCGGATGTCACCGTTGCTATCTGGGTTTACCTGAATGCCAGTGAACACAAAAGACCGTTGACGCTTACTTCCAAAAGGAAATCGGGCCTCGAGCTGATCAATGGCTCGAGCAAAAACAGCATCACCCCCACCCAGGCCATCATCTACATGGACACCTAAAATGCCGTGTATGCCGCAAGCATCCTTAGGATCTTGATTGGGGACTTTCCGTTTGGGAAGTACAAACAGGCACGGGTCCAATGGAGATTATGAAGCCAAGGCCGAGGAGGGCAGTCTTCAGCTCTTGGTACCACGACAGAGGTGCATTCACCAATCCGTATGCACTAGGGTCTCATCATCCTTAAGATTCAGACGTTGCCTTAGTTCAGGAGGAGGCTCGACACCTAAGACCCTCGAGTCTTGACGGCTACCCCTTAAAAAGGCGGTGGAAATATCGAAAGATCTGACCTCCCACCTGTGACTTGAGATGACCTGGAGTGCTAGCATACGAGTGTCCTTTCCCAACGTGGGGGAGTCACGGGGTAGACTGTCGATTGCGGGATCCTCGAATAATCCCAGAATGACGAGTCTGGCTTTAGCCTTACGGCCCAGTCCTGTCGAGGCGGCCTCTATGTCATCGAGCGGCTTCCATGTCAGAACCCATCTTGACCTAAGGAGTTGTCCCTCAGGTATCTTGTGGCGCAAAACGCGACGGACCGTATCTGTCGCAAGCCATTGAGAGAGCTCTTTATCCTTGGCCTTCTCGAACTGAATGATCTCTTCTGGCGTTAAGTCTTTGATCTTTACTTCTACTCTCTGACGTTTTGCTGCCGAAGCCAGGAACAGTTCCTGCTCATGTTGGGATTTCCTGAGGCATTGCTTCACTTCGGCTTCAGTCAAGAGAATTTCACAAACTACCCCATTGGGATGCTCTTCTGTGTGATGAGTTTCATGACTTCCTACGGAAGTCATTTTAGTTGGATCGATGGCAAAAACAGACTGACCGGTCCATATCTCGGCAAGAGTTCGATGACTTTCCGGATTGTTTTTCCATGTTTCATGGATCTTGAACCAATCACCCGTTCTATACCTTCCAGTTGTCCATCGGTCGGGAAGAATGGCGGCATGGGGTACAGGACACGATGGATCAGTAAAAGGATTAAACAGTCGAATTCTTGGGATGTTGTGAACACGAATCAAAAAACCCCATGAATCTTCCATGTATCGAAATCAATTGAATCGACCGTGAGTTCATCATCACTTTTAGGTGGAATGGGAATCAGGGATGCATCTGGCATCAGAGTTTCAGGATTATTTGGTGTTGTGGGAAGCTCCAAGTCTGGTTCTGTGTCAGGTTGAGGTGCAGTGCCTACCGAAGCTGGCCTTGGTCTCTCTCCTTCGGTTGGCTCGGATTGTTTGCCTGCGGTCTGAGGGTCCGGCTGTCTGAACGATGCACTGTCAGGACTTGGGTCCGAAACGGATTCAGTTGGTCTTTGACCTGACTGTTGAGACAAATCCTGATATTGAAAAACACCAGACCCTTGGTTTGGCGACGAACCCAGTTCTTGGATGCTCCTAGCCACAAGTTGTTCATGATTAGATAGTAGTCGAACATGTTCAGGGGCAATTCGGATCAACCTAGTCATGTGAGATACCCATATGGCATTTTGCTCTACCATCAACACTCTTGCGGGGCCATGCCACCTACCTTCTTCACTTCTGGAGTCCTTCCACACCATGACCCAGTCACCAATGGAAAACTTCAAACGATGGGGTCTTGAACGGGCATGTTGGGCCCGTCGGAGCGCTGAACAGTGATCGGCGCGGACATAAGCGATACGGGCTGCTTCCCGCATCAGCATTGGGTGTTGGAATCGAGTCCCCTCCGTCCCATCTCCATCAATGAAACCTGAAGCATCGTCAGGCTCGTTGTCAATGACGCTTCCGGGGCAGACGGCGGCGCTTTCCGAGCTAGGATCTCTGGTGAGTATCCGGCATGACGCGACAGTGCGTTCTTGGCATTGCAAAGCTCGATCAAAGCCCTTTCAAAGGCGTCTCCATCCAAAATAGGTTGTTCCCCATGAAATTTGGTCAACATGGTTTTCAGAATGGCACCATGTCGTTCTGCTCTTCCTAGTTGCCAGTGGGCTCTAGCCGGAATGGGATACGCATGGATGTCATGTTCTTTCAGGAAATCTCCAAACACCGAGCTGTTAGCTTCACCACAGCTATCATACATGACAGACTTGGGAGGTCCAGCCCAACGAATCCAGGCGTCCTTGGAACAGGCTATCAAGCCTTTTGAAGTTCCCTGATGGAATGGCGCAGCAATGTGAAAATTGGTTGCTGAGTCGATGAAATGATAAAACCCAAATTACAAACCTTGAGGTGACTTCCATTCAGCCGCATCAAAAGAAACCATGTCATTGAATTTATTGGAGTTGTCAAATGGGCTGGCCGAGCTATCTTCGGCGCTTGCTGTTCATGGCAAATATCGTACTGGAAGTCCTGGAGGGCCTGAATCACAGTCTCGGACCAACCTTCACTCTGAAGTGCAGCTTTCATTTGGGCATGTCCTGGATGTCCTAAATTCTTATGGATCTTTTGGATCATTGCTTGCAACTTGTCGGGCAATGCTCGGAACAGAGGACCATGAGACAGTCGGTGGGACTCCGGGAGTACTCCATCGGCGTTAGGGGACGGTGACTCTGGCTGGTTCAGAGACGATTCCGTCTTTGACTGTGACTCAGTTCGCGGTCGCTTAGATACAAGCTCATCCGGAGCCCGTTCATCTGGTTCTCTTGGAACGGAGGCAAACATGGTCACTAATAACCGGGTATAGGTGTACCACCACGAATTTGCTGTCGATGCGACAATGTGTTCCATTGTTCCCATTGGGGGTCAACAACAAGCGAAAGATCATCTCTTTTTCTCCCAAAAGCTCTTCTGAAGGGCAACACGGTATGGCAGGACTCGGGTGGAATACGAAGACGGTTGATCCCCCTTCACACATCAATGCCCCCTATTTTCATGTTCGAAAACAAGTTTTGGAGCTTGGTCATGATGGGCCCTTCAGTGATCCACACTCTAGCTACCCTTGCAGTGACCTGATCCACATCTTGGAGAATCGCGTGTAGCTGGCTCAACTCTCTGTCAGTCTCTGGGCTGCTGGCACTGGACTCTGACGTGTGAGTCGGTGTTTTCCCTTCAATCCTACGGCGTTTGTTGTCAGGTTCAAGAATTCCAAAAACTTCACACACCTGGTTGGATCTTTGAGGCTATTTGCTTTGGACACTAGTTTGGATTATTTTCTCCAAACGACGAGCAAAAGTTTGAGTGTACAGTTCAGTGTACCTAGACAAAGGAATTCGCCCTAGTCCAGGGGCCGTGCAACTCCCGGCGATCTGCAAATGGTCATGAGACTCACGACATTGCCACTGCTCCACTGCTCTATGCATGATGGTTGATGTGGTCAATATCTGCGTGCGTTTCCGGAGAAATGCTTCAGGCCGATTGGGGTGTCGGAGGTTGCCCCCAGTGCACATGTCGAACTTCACCTGATGAGTGTAGAGCATAATGAATGACAGTTCACCTTGAAATATCATTTCGGATCCGGAAGGCTGCTCTAGATGAAAATGTGTGTCAGACCCTCGACCAATCTGCAGACGGCATAGGGCGTCGCAAACGAGCAGATGTGTCTTCTCAGCCATCCGAGCTGATCCGATCTTGATCGCGAGTTCTCGAGACTTTCCGGCATACAGATGGCTCCAATTCGACCAAGGACCACAGTTCGGGGATGTCCACACATGCCCAACGGGCTTTCCATGCTAAGTCTTCCAAGCCAAGGCTGAAGTTTCCCATGCTAAGTTTTCCAAGCCAAGCTTGCCAAGAGCTAAGTGCACTTAGTGCAGAATGATACTGGAAAGCCAAACCCCTGGATGCAAAGCAAACCCCTGAACCACCAGAACATAGAACCCATTCAACTTACTCCGACCGTGAAAAGTCCCGAGGTCACCATGTTGGCGACAGAAGCGCGCGGCTTTCAGTCCCAGATTCTGTGCCTGACAGGTGAGCTGGCTGTCCGATGAACAGTATACCTCAAGTATATCAATACCCCCTCTAGAAAAATGAGTTGCCACTTCTTCTTGAGTACCATAATGTTTGCAAAAAGTACGACATCATCTCCTGGTAAACCCAATTCCAAATCTGCGGCTCGGTTTGCGCATGAGTGAAGTACAATGGATCTAGGACCTGGCCAGGATTGAGGGACACTTGTTCACACCCGATACAGTCTGCGATCAATGAATGCATTTTTCGGGAATCAACTACCACTGGACCACCGGTGCCTGCGGTTGGATCTAGAGCTCTTGCTCCTCGTGGTTCACTTGCCACGCAGAGTCCAGAATGGGATTCGGCTGCGAGAGAATTCGAACTTGCAAGATCTGATTCTCATGGTCTCTTCCAGGCGGGTCAGACGTTGACTCTGGATCTCGAGTTCCTGACGGGTGCTCTGGTCCTCTTCGATCATGTCCCACATCTCCAGGGGTTCCTGGGCAATCCAGCTGTCGACTTCTTCGGCCGTCGCTGGCCGAGAGGTCGGCGTGGCCTTGGCCTTGGCTCGAGATTTGGGAGCTGAAGTCACGACGGCTTCTTGGGCTTCGATCTGGCGACGCGCAAACGTCACGAAGGCCTTGTGTACCGGCTTGGTTGAATCCTGGTAATGTCCCAGGAACCATGTGACATAGCGACTGTCCTCGAGGACTTTGGCAAAGGTCTGACCCTTCTTGGCTTCGCCGAATGCGATCTTGGCCTGAGCCAACTCTTCCAGCGGCATGGTCTCCGGATCGGAGGGAATCCCTGCCTCGGATGCTGTCTTCAGAGCCTTGAAACGATCGGCCAAGGTCGGAGTCTTCGACATGGATGCCATGGCTAACACCGGAGTCGGTCGGGTCTTGTGATCGCACTTCACTGTCAGGGCTTGGGCACGAGAGTCTCAGAGGAGGCTCATCTGCATCACGACCGTCATGCTCAGAGTCTCCGGAACGAGGAAACGATGTACAAGACGAACCGAAACCGATCCGACTGTCGCTGCTTTGCAAAATGGTTTCTTCTTTCGTTTCTATCTTTTTGACTGGCGTTTGATGGGCTCGTGAAATCAACTGTGCAAAATCGAGGAGATATAGCTTCTTTTTCGGACAAAGTGAGTGGCAGTCCGAATCCAAGCTTTCCAAAGTACACTGAATCAGTTGCGGTGTGGATCGATGCATCGAGCTTACGAAAAACATTATTCGAAAGCAAAAACGGTGTACGAGATGGAACAACACAGATCTTCACTTTATACGGCCCTATAGTGGAACAAGCAAAGCTCGGTTGCATTCCACAGTGCTGCTATTGCCAAAACGGAAAACTGTTCTGCGTGGAACTTCCTGGACCTGAACATGTCCTGGCAGTTGACTGTGTCTGACTGGCACCTAGGTCGACGATGCCGAGAGTTCCATGACTTACGAAACATGTCGTCGCCTCACCCGTGGTGGGTGAAGGCTTTGGCTCAATCAGAGGGCTTGTAGGATGGCTCAGTCTGGCTCGAAGCAATGGCATCAGCCTTTGCGAGCATTGCTGCATTCTGCGGACCATGTCCGTTGGCTTCACTACCCTGTGGGGAAATGGCTTGTCTGCTAGAGCCATGAAAACTGAATGCCAATTTGTCCAAGGCGCCCGATTGACGAGAATCATGTCTTCATCCTCAGCGAAGTCGGACTCCTGCAAGGCCATTCCAGTGAAAGCACCATCTTTGGCAGCATTGGGTCCTGACAATGCACTTTGGTTGCGGAGCGGACACTCGGCCTTCCAATGGCCTTTTGCCCCGCACCTCCGACAATTGGATTCTAAGATCCTTTGTGCCAGCGGTTTCCGTGGTCGGAACTCGAAGCGGTCGCTCTTCCCCTTGCGACCTTTGCCCATGCCCTTGCGAGGAGGGTTCCAAAAACCACGTCCTTTGGCCTTGTCGGAAAGCCTTTTTCGAGCTTCCATGTACGTGTTCATGCATGCGGCCATGTCGGGATCGGATTGCAATGTGTCCAACAAACTCTCCTCAAATTGGAGGCACACAATAGCATCAGCATCACCTTCTTCGGCCCATTGTTCCAGATGTCCTTCATCTAGAGGATCACCAAAAGAGGTCCGCTCCTCATCACCGGCAGTTGCCGGAGTCGACATGAACATGGCTGGTTCTTCCTCAGCATAGAAGGTCGACGAGTCATACGTTTTGGTTCGAACATCATTCTGAGCTTTCCCGGCATGGACCTCGTGGAAGAACTTGCTCCCTAGCAGTTTGAGGTTTGACACCACTTCACGATAATCCAATGACCCTTGGGATTCCACGATCAAGCGTTTCTTGTCGTCTGAGCTCAGGGAGGAATTGCGAAGAAGGATATAAGCACGAAACTCATCAAGCCCAATCTTCATGCTCTTCAGCTCTTCAAATTGATGGTCGTGACGGGCTAGATAGGATTCATTGGTCTCGTCACCCTTCTGAATTGTGCTGTATATCGCTCTCTCGAATCTCTCGAACTTGTCCTCCAATCGGAATTTACCCCATGATTCCAGTGCTTCCACAATCGCCTGAACTCCATCGGTGGAGTTCGAGCGCAACACTTTGGGATCAACTCTGGATACCTGCTGGAAGGCGCTACCCTCGCACTGCATCGCAATCCTTGGTGCTAAGTAGTGCAACTGTTCTGGAGGCCATAGCTGAGCTAGAAATTCGACTTTGCGAGTCCATTCATTCAAGTCAGTCTCTCCAGGTTTGAACACAGGCACCTGATTGTAGGGCAAATGACTCGATCCTCCAGAGCCCCCGGAGCCTGAAGAAGGATCATCACGAGCAGTAGCCATGCGAACCCAGCCACTTCCGAAAGTGCTTCAACACCTTCAGCGGCTTGGGCTCCGCTACCAGTGTAGATTCCCCACACTGGAAACGTCGCCCTTCCCTCACCTATCACTTCCACCCACCGAGCGCTCCCGGGCGCGTCTTTCTCACACCGCAGCCTCCGAGGGTCGTCCACGACCAAGGGCGAACGGCTGTCCACGGCCTACCATCCAAGCCCCCTGACTTGAGCCCCTTCTCACGGGCACGAACACCTGACACTCGGATGAGTGTCACATCTCATGTGACAGCGTACCCTTCAAAGTCCAGGTTGCAAGGTTTGGCCACTGAAATCACAATATATGTATATATATATATACATATAAATATACATATACTAGGTTGTGGTTCCGGTTTCAGGGAGGTCTATTTTCAACCTCTACTAGGGATGATTGAACCCACTGACGAATAGAACCCACTGGTGAGTTGAAACCGCCAACCAGATACTAGTGGATGCTTCAGGACTTCCTTTTAGATGATGGATGATGGATGGATGATGGATGGATGATGTTGATTTTCCCAAAACGTCCGTTTGGAATGGATGCGACGGGGCGGGGGTTCACCTTTTGGGAGGACCCAAATCCTGGAGGGGTCTGGGGTCTCAAATCTCTATAGGTTTTGCGGGACCAAGGGGCTGTTTGGAGAGTCTGGGTGCAGAGTTCTTTTTTTGGAGTCAACTTTGTTGATTTTCCGTGCCGACTTCGCCTCAGGTTGGATGAGATGATGCGGCATGGAGTGCCTGCGCAGAATCGCGGGGAGATCTGGTTTGAGATCACTGATGCTGAGGAGAGGGGGGTTCGTGAACAAGGCAGATGAAGGGCTTTTTGAGACTGTTAAAGATACACGAACCACATTCAATGATGATTTAATATGATTTAATACAAGGTGATAGATGGTCGGTAGTCCAATCGCTGGCAAGAGCATCTCTCTGATTTTTTTTTGGTTCTTTGGGCTGTTCTTTTGGCGGAGTTGGATTGGACTGTGGACCGGGGAAAGCTTACAATCTTTCACCTCGAAGACCATCCTCAGCAGGTATATACCTGGACCCTATGGGTGGGTGATGGCTTTGAACATGTTTGGGTTTGAACTTCTCTCAAAGACATCTGAATCTTGGGGGCCCGAATGGCTCGAATTTGCAAGATTTTTTGAGTGTAGCGACCAAAGGCTGGAACCATGGAATGACACCTGGAATGTGGAAATCACCTTCTCAGAAGGCATAACAGTGTCTCCAATCATTTTTTGAGAAGATACGACTGGATCCCTAGGGTTGGTATTCGGTTGGTACCCTCCACAGGTCGCAGATGTTCATCCACCCTTTCATCCACCAGAATCCATCCTGCAACAACCGTGTGGAACCTTCGTTTCGTGATTGATGCACCCAGTACAAAAACAGTAACGGTCAGTCAGACCTGCAACCTAGCCATCATCATTCACTTACTGCAATGTTACGAAAGCCAGCCTTCGTAGAAGGCGCTAGCGGAGTTGTGTTTGGCGAACGAAGTGAGTAGTTAGGGGGTCTGGGGGGGGTGGCCCGGGAAAGGTACACGTAAACTCGGCACATGCTGGGGGAGGAGGGTGCGTCGAGGGAAGGTTTTTTGAGGTTGTGTTGGAGGTGATTTTTGAGGGGTGGTGATGCAAGAAATGCAATCTGCATCATTTGCATCATCTGAATGGAAAGGTGTAGTTGGCACCTTGCCAGGTATAGAGACCCAGGTAGCTATAGTGCAGCTACCAGGTATAGTACTTCAAGTTCCCTTTCCGTCAACCGCTCGATAACCTCTACACACGCACAGCAATCCACAGCTTTGAAGTCTCATTCGTGCTTTGAACTTGTATAGGTGTGTAAGGGGTATAGCAACATAGTATTTATACGGACCCAGGGTAGCTACAATTCTGTTCCCAGGTATGGCGCGCACGAGGCTTCAAAGCTGTGGTTTTCAAGCTACATTCAAGGTGGCCTGAGACCAGGGCTTGCTGCCCTAAAACACTCTGTTCAGGCCACCTTGAAAATAAAGGTGTAGTTGGCACCTTGCCAGGTATAGAGACCCAGGGTAGCTATAGTGCAGCTACCAGGTATAGTACTTCAAGTTCCCTTTCCGTCAACCGCTCGATAACCTCTACACACGCACAGCAATCCACAGCTTTGAAGTCTCATTCGTGCTTTGAACTTGTATAGGTGTGTAAGAGGTATAGCAACATAGTATTTATTACGAAAGCCAGCCTTCGTAGAAGGCGCCAGCGGAGTTGTGTTTGGCGAACGAAGTGAGTAGTTAGGGGGTCTGGGGGGGTGGCCCGCAAAAGGTACACGTAAACTCGGCACATGCTGGGGGAGGAGGGTGCGTCGAGGGAAGGTTTTTTGAGGTTGTGTTGGAGGTGATTTTTGAGGGGTGGTGATGCAAGAAATGCAATTTGCATCATTTGCATCACCTGAATGGAAAGGTGTAGTTGGCACCTTGCCAGGTATAGAGACCCAGGGTAGCTATAGTGCAGCTACCAGGTATAGTACTTCAAGTTCCCTTTCCGTCAATGGCTCGATAGATAACCTCTACACACGCGCAGCAATCCACAGCTTTGAAGCCTCATGCGCGCGATACCTGGGAACAGAATTGTAGCTACCGTGGGTCCGTATGAATGCTATGTTGCTATACCTCTTACACACCTATACCAGTTCAAAGCACGAATGAGACTTCATAGCCGTGGTTTGCTGTGCATGTGTGGCTCGAGAAAGATATACGTAAACTCTGGAAGGTGATGCTTTGATGCTTTTGGAGCGGGTGGTGACGCACTCGCCAACTATACCCTTCAATAGGAACTCGAACAGCTCAAATCCAGAAGATTCTGAAAATGGCCTGGCTCCCATATGAACCCTTGGGAAGACTGGGAAGCGAGGAGGTGGAAAGTCCTTTGCTCTCGCTTCGCAGACCTTCATTTTCAAGATGGCCTGAACAGAGTGTTTTAGGGCAGCAAACCCTGGTCTCAGGCCGCCATGAATTTAGCTTGAAAACCACAGCTTTGAAGCCTCATGCGCGCGATACCTGGGAACAGAATTGTAGCTACAATGGGTCCGTATAAAAGCTATGTTGCTATACCTCTTACACACCTATACAAGTTCAAAGCACGAATGAGACTTCAAAGCTGTGGTTTGCTGTGCATGTGTGGCTCGAG